GAACAGAAGATACTTGTTGAAAGAAAGACCACCAGGAAAAATACAAAACAATATAGGCAGACTGACTGGTTACTATAAGAACAAGCAAGCTGCTCGCCCAGGAGACGTCAAGGCAAGTGGTTGGGTCCCCTCAGAGTAAACCCCTCCAAGACTAAGACTCAATGGAAATACACACTCTGATTGTTGACCACGATCATCACTGATAAAGGGAAGTGAGGGAAAAACAGCAATGAAGCTGCAAGCTAAGCCCTACAACGTTCAATAGATTCCTGTGAAGCCGGGTGAAGACCTGGTTAGCCAGCAGTGTGGCAAGACCTGGGGACTCTTGGGCCTGGAATCAGTGACATAGCCACAGAGGACTAGAGTGGAGAGTGAAGCATCCAGCTGATAAGAAGAGAGGGCATATACACAAGAACACCCACACTTGCAATTAATACCCACTTGACCTGGCTTCAATGACTGGATGATCAGAGCTCAACCAGAAGAAGAAAGAAGAGGAAAAAAAAAGTAATCTGATACAATTTGATGAATTTGACCTACACCTATGGAAGCAGTAGCTCAAAAGAGGGAACAAATCTTTACAGCAAGGATCATTCCCACCCCCTCCACACACAGAGAAGACAGGGAAGGGCAACTTGGACATTGGCTACCCAAAATGGGGGTGGGGGGGGCTACAAAGGCAAGAAGTGACTGGCTTACAAGCTTTCAAGAAGGAACCTAGATCCAGAGGGTGAGGAGGAAGGTAGACTCTCCACTGAGTAGTATCCAATCTGTCTAGGCAGGGCTGAAGAAAGGAAATGTGGATAGGTCTTTTGTGATACAGTAGTGAATAATTATCATCAGGACTGCTTGTGAGGGTTGTAAATGTAAAGGTAGACGTTCTGTAGCAAGGAGGGGCGTGATTAACTTTTTAGTCTAGGAGTGGAGGTCCCTGGGACCATCAAGGGAGAAGAGTGGAGAGCGGGACCCTACCCAGAGAAGCAGTGATACCTGAGATGGAGGCAGAGATGATGATGTAGAGAGATGGAGCAGCTGGGGACTTTAGATCCAGAGAGGGAGAGCGACTGTGTGCTGACGACAGGGGGGCAAGCTTGTAGTGTATACCCTCTGATTGGTTGATGATGCATGGAAGGGATTGTAACCATGGCAGTGAAATGATATATGATAGGATGAATGTAAAACCAATGTTATCCCATGTAAACTATCACATAATTCACAATAAAACATTAAAAAAAGAGAAAGAATCAGTGTGGATTAATAATACCAAATTGGCTCTATAGTGACTATGCAAGACTTAGTACAGGACAAAAAGCATGTAATTCAGAGCTAGATGGTTCTTATGACAAACTCTGCCCTACTTAGCTATTTGGCAATAAATTCTTAAATTGCAAAGGTCAGTTATAGAATCTGAAAATTCTTTAACTGAAAAATTTTTAACGGAGATAATACTGTGAAATACCGCACCTTGAAAGCTGCTGTAAGGATTTTAATATTCCAGTTGATTATAAAGACAGTATAAATAAATAGGAGTGCTCTGCGCAGTAAAAGGAGCCCTGGTGATGCAGTGATTCAGCACTCAGCTGCTAACCAAAAGATTGGTGGTTTGAGCCTACCAGTGGCTCTGTCCATGGGAGAAAAAAACTGCTGGTCTGCTCCTCTAATGAGTAATGCTTAGGAAACCCTATGGAGCTGTCCACTCTATCACAAGTGGGGCACAATGAGTCAGAATTCACTTGATGACATGCAACAGCATGAACAATAAATAACAGCTCTGGTAGTATAGTGGTTACAAATCAGGCTGCAAACTGCAAGGTCAGCAGTTCATAATTACCAGCTGCTCCACAGAAGAAAGATGAGGCTTTCTGCTCCCGTAAAGATTTATAGCCTTGGAAACCCTGTACAGGGTCGCCATGAGTCGGAACCCACTCCACGGCACATAACAACAACAAATCTAAAGGCTAATGGTTCAAAGCCATCCAGTAGTTCTATGGGATAAAAGACCAGGCAGCCTGTTTCTGTAAAGATTATAGACAACTCTAGGGCCAGTTCTGCTTTGTCACCTAGGGTTGCTATGAGTAGCACCTAACAACTCCAGGGCACCTAACAACAACAACATGCACAATAAGTTTTATGTAAAGATCACTAACACTGTTTTTCTTAAGCTACACCTTCCTTCCTACACTTAACCCCACCAGCTTCTCTCTCTCTCTCTGCTTCTTTCAATATAATCTATACTGACAGCATGCACTTGCATATATATGTACGTTGTTGTTAAGTGCTGCCGAGTTGGTTCCGACCCATTGTTGTTGTTGTTGTTGTTGTCAGGTGCCATCGAGTCAGAACTGACTCATAGCGACCCCATGCACAGCAGAACGAAACAATGTCCGATCCTGGGCCAACCTCACTACTGCCGCCACACTTGACGTCATCAATGATGCCACCTGGCTGATCCATCTCGTTGGGGGTCTTCCTCGTTTTCTCTGACCCTCCATATTACCCAGCATGACATCCTTCTCCAGCGACTGTTCCCTCCTAACAATATGTCTGACCCATAGCGACCCTGTATAGGGTTTCCAAGGAGCAGCTGGTGAGTTTGAACCGCTGACCTTGCAGTTCAAACGGCTTTGCAGTCTGGAACATTAACTCACAGTGCCACACATGGGGCTTCAAAAAGTTCGTGGAAAAATGGAATAGAAAGATAATGGAAATTTTCCACGAATTTTCGAAGCACCCATCCACCCAACTACCCACCTACCATATGTAGCTGCTGTTAAGTACCGTCGAGTTAATTCTGACTCATAACAACCCTGTACAGGGTTTCCAAAATCTTTGCGGGGGCAGAAAACCTCATCTTTCTTCTGTGAAGTGGCTGGCGGGTTCAAACCTCAGACCTTACAGTTCACTGTCTAGTGCTTATTATATGAAGCCAATGTGATGCCCTGCACCGCCCTCACCCCAATACATCATATACCCCTTATTCAAGTTTGTATTGTGGTAGTTTTTGTATGCCATTGAATCTATTCCAATACATAGCGACCCTGTATAGGGTTTCCAAGGCTGTAAATCTCTCAGGAAATAGAAAGCCTCATCTTTCTCCCTAAAAGACTGTTGTTGATAAATGCTGTGGAGTTGATTCCAACTCATAGTGACCCTGTATAGGGCTTCCAAGGAGCAGCTGGTGGGTTTGAACTGCCAACCCAGTTGTTCACAGTCCAGTGCTTATCTTACAGTGCTATACCAGGAGTCCTAAAAGAGTATGTTGTTGTTTTTAGGTGCTGTCGAGTCAGTTCCAATTCATAACAACCTTGTTTAGGGCTTCCAAGAAGAGGCTGTTGAGCTAGAACCGCCCACCTGGTGGTTCAAATTGATCTTGCAATCCAGCGCATTAACCCACAGCACGACCCCAGGACTCCTAAAAGAGCCTAGTATATATAAAAATTTTATATGCACTGTAATGCACCAAATTTGTCTTAAAAACATTAAATGCTGCATTTCGGTATTTCACAATAGTCACAAAACACGAAAAATACTTTTGTGAAATATGGCCTAAATTCTAATGCATTATAGCTCAAATTTACTTTAAACCATGTTTCTTCTTATATATAAATTAATTAATCATAGTGTACTTATTCCATGTCTTAATTTCCACTTATATTTTAAGTAAAATATTACATACTGAAACTTGGCAAAATATAGAAATACTGCTATAAATACTTCTATAAATTGGTTTTCATAGATCCACAACTGCTGTATTCTTTACCTTTCTCTTTTCTCCCCAGTTTCACATGAACCTTTGCAAATAATCGGTTGAAAAAAAAATAATGTAGCAAGGTATTACAGAATAGCCTACTAACCATACAGTCTTTCAAGATGTGCAGGCTGCTTTTTGTATTCTTCCTGTAGATGATCTGCCTCTTCCAGAATACAGCGATATTCTGGTATCAGAAAGTCTGTATTTCCCTCATGGACCTGCAATTCCTTATTTTAAATAAAATGTTCAAAATTAAATCTAAGTGTAATAGGAGAGCATTTACAATTTTAGAAGTTCTATCACAATAGGATAATGATTAAGAGTCCATAACATATATACTTACTTTTAAAGCATCAATTAACTGCACTTTCTTAGCCAAAAGCAACTGGTACTCCAGTTTAGGGTGGATTAGCTTTAACGTGTGTTTCACTGATACTTCATTTATCTCTAGAAGGAGTTGAGTAAGGACAATTAAGTTAGTCACAGAAACATTCTTATAATATCAACAACAACAAAAAAAAGAAAAACAAAACCAGAAAGAATAATCAGGGTTTTTTTTTGTATGTTTGTTTTTTACCATATGATATGTTGAGGTTAATTTTCCTTTTCGTAGCTTCCTTAGAGAGCACATCTTTCAGGATGGATATAGTAGAAATGTTGTCAGATTTAAAAACTCCTTCTCCTTTTCTGTAAAATTAATATATATATATATATATACTTCAGAAAGTAGTCCAGTAAATAGGTATTTTCTGACTAGAACCTAGTAATCAGATTTCATTTTGCTTTATATTCCTTTAAAATTGTTCATGTAAAGCTTATTTAAATAGGCAACCCTTTACTGTTATATTAACTATTATTCTGAACCTACTTATAAAGCTAAACAAAAGATCCTAGTTACATGGTTCCTAAAGATAGGGCAATTTTTATGTTCTTCATTTAAAACACAGCTTTTTTTCTTTTGTTTTCACTACTAATATTTATAATGTTAATCCTGTCAATATAATACTTTGAGATGTTGTTGTTGTTATTGTTAGGTGCCGTCGAGTTGGTACCGACTCATAGCAACCCTATGCACAACAGAACGCAACACAGCCTGAAATTATAATATGCTTCATCCTGAGAAAGTAAATCTGATATTAAACCTGAAAGAATGACATCTGCTGTTCTTCTATGCCCAGCATACACTGCCACTTTTTATATATACTGTTCTGTCTCATAGCAACTCTCTATAGAGTTTCTAAGGAGCAGCTGGTAAGTGTGAAACGCTGACCTTGTAGTTCAAACCGACCTTGCAGTCCACTGCTTATCTTACAGCACCACACGAGGACTCCCTACATAGTCACAGGACCCTTGTTTTTCTTTGGAAAGCCAGCTTCTTCCCCTCAGTTTCAGATGGCTTCAGTGGAACTGGCCTCAATCTCATTTTTAAGACTTCAGAAGGAGCCATGTAGCAGTGTATTTTATCCACTTGACCATAATGGTCTGAGCTGCACAATGATACTCAAATGTCTAATGGAAGTAGTAGGAAAGAGGCTCTAAGGGCAGCTGAAAAGGTATTGTTGGATGTAGCTACTGTGACCACCATGCCACTACATAGAAAAGCCAACAAAAGCACAAGTAGAGCTGCGCAATGGAAAAGGAGAAAGTCCTGATGATACTGGGTGAAGCTGAATCTAAGACTGATTGATTACTGTTAGCATTTTAAGTCATGTGAACCAACAAATTCCTTTTCTTCCCTTTTTGGTAGTTATGCCGGCTTGAATTTAGTTTCTTTTTTTGTGACCAAAAGTTTCCTAATGAATGTACACACCATTGTTGTGTACATTCAATGTTGGCTTTCCTAATGAATGTACACACCATTGTTGTGTAGTCAATGTTGGCTTTTTAATGGCTTTTCACATACAGAAATAATTTATACTGACTGGCTGTAGACATTATGTTCTTTCTTCTAGAAAGTTGAATAACATACACTACTCCGGGTATGGCACTGTGGATAAACACTGGACTGCTAATCACAAAGTGGATGGCTCACACCCACCCCCTACTCCTTTGAAACCCTATACAGGATCGCTGTGAGTCAGACACGTAACAACTACTATTTCACTTCCATGATTTCTCTAGTTTTTAATCTATTAACAGATTAACGGTTTACAAGGTTTATCTTATTTTACTCTTCAATAATTCAATACTATTATTTCCATTTCTCAAAAAGAAAAATAAAACTCAGAAAGTTAAGCAATTTTGCTACGGTTACATAGCTGGTGAGTGACAGAGTCAAGATTCAAACCTATGCCTCCAAAGCACACTACTCTTCATAATATGTATTTTATTTAGGATGCATCAAAACTATTACTGAGGATCTACTATGTGCAAAGCCATGTGTTAGGTACTTGGGAGTATACAAGATAACTAAGAAATAGACTCTGTCCATGAGAACCTCAAGGTCAGTGGTTCAAACTCCCCAGCCACTCCTCAGAAAGCCTATGCAGGGTTGCTATGAGTCGGAAATGACCCAACAGCACTTAGTAACAACAACAAAAACTTACTGTTTAATTTTAAAAGACAAGCATACATAAAAATTACTGTATATTTCAAACTTACTAATTATTGCTAAGTGCTGTCGAGTTGGTTCCCACTGATAGTGACCCTATGTAGGGTTTCAATGGCCACCTTCCAGTTCAAGGCAACCTTGCGGTCCAGTGCTTACCCTTCAGGACCACATTAGGTGCTAGCATGTCAATTTTCAATACATAGAGACTCCACATGGCAGAGTAGAACTGCCCCATAGGGTTTTCTAGGCTGAAATATTTATAGAAGCAGTTTGCCAGGTCTTTCTCCCACGGAACAGCTGGTGTGTTCAGTGAATCTTTCAATTAGCAGCCAACTACTAATTAACCACTTTCCCACCATATAACAATAAATACCAGGAACAGGTCAAAATAAAATGACACAGAAACAAAGAAGTGAAAGAAAGAAGGCTTTAAAATTAGCTACGGAGTTGGGACTTGGTGGATAAGTAGTTTTGACTATTAACGAAAGAATAGTTACGGACACAGATGGTAAAGAGCAAAAGTCGGTTATTATAAAAATATATAATGTGCTTGGTCTTGTTATTAGGTGCTGTCATGTGGGTTCCGACTCACAGCAACCCTGTACAGGGTTTCCAAGAAATAGCTGGTGGGTTAGAACCACTGAAGCTGGGGTTCAAACCAACCTTATAGTCCAGTGCTTATCCTAGGAGCACCACACCAGGACTCCATCTAATGTGCTTTGTTGTTGTTGTTAAGTGCTGTTGAGTCAATTCCAACCCATAGTGACCCTGCAAAGGGTTTCCAAGGAGCAGCTGGTGAGGCTGAACCGCTGACCTTGCAGTTCAAACAACTTTGCAGTCTGATGCATTAGCCTCCAGTGCCACACCAGGACTCCATATAAAGTACTAGAACGTATCAAATTGTCTACTGTTATTTAAATGTGAGAGGTTCAAGACCTGGTTGTATATCAAAATAAGAACCTTGATGGCACTATGGGTTAAGTATTGGACTGCTAACCACAAGGTTGGTGGTTTAAACCCACAGCTATGAGTTAAAACCAACTCAATGGCACAACAACAATATGTTCAGAAACAGAAAAACTATTTAGCTCAAAAGGAACCCTAGTACCACAGTAGTTAATGGCTTGACTGCTAACCAAAAGGTAAGCAGTTCGAACCCACCAGCCACTCCGCAGGAAAAAGAATAAAGATTTACAGCCTTGGGAATCCTATGGCATTTAATTCTACTGTCTTGTAGGGTGGCTATGAGTTGAATCAATGACAGTGGGTTTGGTCTGGGGGCTTTTATGGAGCTCATGGGAGATGACTGCTATGTGAATGGGAAGGGTGAAGGATTACAACTGAATCCCTGAGGACAATATAGAAGAACACAGTCCTCCACACTCTAGCATTGTTGTTAAAAAGTGCTGTAGATTTGGTTCCAACCCATAGAGACTCTGTGTAGGGTTTCCGAGGAGCAGCTGGTGAGCTTGCACAACCGACCTTGTGGCTCAAATTAATTTTGCAGTCCATCACATTAACCCACAGTGCCACTCTAGCATGTTGTTGTTGTTATTGTTAGGTGCCATCGAGTCAGTACTGGCTCATGTGACCCTATGCACAACAGAACGAAACACTGCCTGGTCCTGGGCCGACCTCACAATTGTTGCCACGCTTGAACCCACTGATGCTGCCATATTGCCAATCCATCTCACTGGAGTCTTCCTCTTTTTCTCTGACCCTCCACCTTACCAAACATGATATCCTTCTCCAGCGACTGGTACCTCCTGACAATATGTCCGAAGTATGAGAGATGAAGTTTGGCAATCCTGGCCTCCAAGGAGCACTCTGGCTGCCCGTCTTCCAATACAGATCTGTTGGTTCTTTTGGCAGCCCATGACACTTTCAATATTCTCCAACACCATAACTCAAAAGCATCAATTCTTCTACGGTCTTCCTTATTCACTGTCCAGCTTTCGCATGTATATGAGGTTATTGAAAATCCCATGGCCTGGGTCAGGTGCACCTTAGTCCTCTTTACTCTTCAACACTTTAAAAAGGTCTTGTAAAGCAGATTTGCCTAATGCAATACATGGTTTGATTTCTTGACTGCTGCTTCCATGAGTGTTGATAGTTGATCTAAGAAGAATGAAGTCTTTGACAACTTCAATCTTTTCTTCATTGGTAAGAATGTTGTTTATTGGTCCAGTGGTGAGGATTTTTGTTTTCTTTACTCTAGCATGGTAGCCTCTAGAAGACTGCCTATTTCCCTAAAGTTGAAGTCATTGCCTATTTTGCATAATAATGCATATTTTGCATAATTCCAAATGGAATTATGACAAATCTTCAAATCAATTTGAGGATTGCCATCTTTACAGTGTCTTTATATTGATGGCTTTAGGCTATCTTACTCCATGTAATTGGAGTCCTGGTGTGGCGCTGTGGGTTAATGCACCAGACTGCAAAGCCATTTGAACTGCAACATCGGTGGTTCAAGCTCACCAGCTGCTCCTCGGAAACCCTATACAGGGTCGCTATGTGTCGGAACCGACTCGACAGCACTTCACAACAACAACTCCATGTAATTAAGTTTTATATGACAATTAAATTTCTAACATTCTTCACATAAGTTCTACAACTCAAACAAAACTCACTGCCATCAAGTCAATGCTGACTCATAGCAACCATGTATAGGGTTTCCAAGGCTGTAAAGCCAACCTATAGGTTTTTTGCTTTTTTCCCTAATTGTTAATGCTATTCTGAAATGAGTCTTTACTAACAGTGTATTTTCTAACTGCTTATTGTGAAGAAATTATGAAAGGCTGTATTGCTCTTTGCATAGTCATCTTTATATAATCATTTTTGTAAATTCATTCTACTTATTTTTTAATAGATCCTCTCGAATGGTCAGGTATTCTATCATATTATTTTCAAATTATTCCTGTCTTAGAGCAAACAAAACCTAGAAGTCCAATTTGCTTACATAAAAACAACAGTTGTGAACAGTAATGAGTCTGATTTACCTGTAGGTACTTTCAAGTTGTGTATCCAGGAAGGTGTTCTGAAAATAAAATGTCACACCTTCTCCTGACGGTGGCTTCTCAGGAACTTCAGGAAGGCAAAAAACCACCCAGGAATGAACTTCAGCAAAACTGAACTGTCCAGTTAGAGTCAGTGTATTCATGGGTCTGTAATTAAATAACAGCACGCATTAATTAGTATGTGTGAAGATGTGGATATAGACTATCTATCCAAGGGAACTTCAACAAGTTCTTGGAAAAATTGTATTATCTATTAATTCTACTTTTCCACAAACTTTTGAAGCCTGCTACACATGAACAAACAGAATTTTGTAATAGTTGCTAAACAAATATAAAAGCACTCACTTAACTTTTCTCATATTAATCTTACACACCAAATAAATAAACATTTCAATTTCATGGGAAAATTTTAAATATCCTTTATTTTTATTATTATAACATGATTTACCAATAAAACCCACTTTACTCATATATATTTCATTTTTGAAAAGTTCACCTAGTATTTCTATATAAACTATAAAACATATGCACAGAAGAGTGTCCTTAAGAAAATAATGCACAGAACATGAAGGCAAAGAGTGAGACTTTGGAATAGGATAGACATGAATTTAAAAATTTGAAAACTATGTGTCATTGGGCAAAAATAAATACTTGTTCTACGTATGTTTAAAACAAATCAAGTGGATAATTAAACAAAATTATTAAAATGCAAATTGTATAGAATTAAAGATTGAGAAGGAACTTTCAATAGGCTTTAGAATTGAGGAACCTGATAGCTGAAACAGTTGGTATGATTCAGATCAACGCTCTACTTGGAGATGAGAAACCAAGGTCCACAGAGGCTGAATTATTTCCCCAAAGTCACAAAGAAAAGGATAGAAAAATTCCAATCTACTCTCTTGATTCTGTTTGTTATTCTATCCACCACATTATACTGCTTCCATTAACCCAACTTTGACTTTTAAGCAGGAAGATACCCTTAGAAAATAAGGAGTCTATTCTTTTCAATGTTTTCCAAAAATTTCCCAAGCAGATCCTTTCTCACTAGATATCTGATTGCTCATCTTTTAAATTATAAACTAGTTACAGCTTTTAAATTTTAACTAATCAAATTATAAAACAGAATGAACATGGGTTTTAACCTCAAATCACAGCACTTACACAAGGGGGCTTCATGGAATTAAAAGACAATGGAAGTTTTCCATGAACTTTTTAAAGTCCCTTTGTATATAAGTCAGGGAACACAGTGGTTTTATAGGACAAACACTGCACTGCAAACCACAAGGTCGGCAGTTCTAGTCCACCAGCTGAACCCCACAAAGGTTTGAAAACAAAGCAAGCCTGGAAACCCTAATACAAGGTTCCTATGACTCAGAACCAACTACACAGCACTTAACAACATACAAGTCAAAACTATTACTACAAAATCAGAAAAACCTTTATTAAACAGACATACTGGCACTGTTAAGGAGCTCTGGCAGTATAATGGTTACGAATTGGGCTGAGAACCTTAAGGTCAGCAGTTTGAAACTGACTCCACGGCACATAACAACAATAACAACAACTGGCACTGTAGGATAAGCACTGGACCTCAAGGTCAGTTTGATCCATTAAGGTTGGTAGTTCAAACTCACCACACAGGGTCACTATGAGTCAGAATCTACTCAATGGCACTTAACAACAATGTTTCACAAAACATCATCCATCAAGGTCTATACATTTCTGAATGCTGTGTTTCCATCTCTCTAGCCCATTCCTGAAGAATTCTGCACTCTTCAATTTACACGTCAAAACGGCAGTTTCAAATTCTCAAGGGACTCAAATCATGTTCCTTTTCCATGGTCTTTGAGTTTGGGGAACAAAAAAATCTGAATGGGCAAGGTCAGGGTTGAAGAGTGGATGAGGTAAGGCTTCCCAATGAAATTCTCACTCTTGCTGACTTCAAAGAATGAGCAGGTGCATTGTCATGATGGAAAAAAAATTCTTTGGTGCAACTTTCTCACCAATGCAGTTTTCAATTTTCTTAAAACTTTTTTTCTAATAAGCCACTGTGATTGTCCTATTTCCTTCATGAAAATCTATCAAGATTATCCCTTTGGAATCACATTAGAAGGTCATAGACAGAGTGGGATAAAATGTAGTATAAACCTCAAAATCATAAAAACAGATACATTATGGATCAGACAATAGACTGGTGGAACCCTGAGACTATGACCCTTGGTTCCCACCTCAGATCTGGAACTGAACTCCTCCCCATAGCTTAATTTTCAACCAAGCAATACATAGGTATGTAGGGGAACAACACTAGTGGGGTACACACCATGGAGTGGTCACCCATTGTAGACCAAAAGGCCAGTCTTTACCCACAGATAAAGTTCAGAAGGGTTGGGAAAGGAGGAGGAATGGAAACAAGAAACACTAGGAGGAACTGGCAGGCTACACTGAGGGGAATGCAATCACTGAGATGAAACAAGGTGTATGCTTTGTTGAATGCAAAGCTGATGATCTACTCTGTAATGATATACTGACTTCACAATAAAAAGTCAAAAGAAAAAAAGAAGTAAATAGGTCTAGATAGAGACTGTTGAGAAACAATAGCTTCACATTCTGACATTTGTTTAATAAAGGTTCCTATGATTTTATGGAGTCCTGGTGTGCGCTGTGAGTTAAAGTGCTGGACTGCAAAGTCAGTTTGAGCTGCAAGGTTCAGGCGCATCAGCCCCTCCTTGGATACCCTAGACAGTGTCGCTGTGGCTAGGAACCAACTCAATGGTGCTTAACAACAACAATGATTTTATAGCAATATCTTTTTTTTCCACAGAGAAATCATAATATTTTTATTATAAAATATTTTTTTTCTTACAGCTAGTATATAAAGCTCCTGTCTTCCTTACATCAATATATGAATAATTTTATTTACATATATCACCCTTGAGATGAGCTCAATAGCCATCTGCTACTTAGCTTTGTATATAAGAATTGGAATTTCAAGATATTATCAAAGCATTACCAAACACCATGGGATAACATAACTGACATTCAAATTCAAGTGAATATGATGCTTCCTTTCAATTAACTTGCTATTTCTAGTTCAATGTACATTCAACCATATAGCAATACTTTTTGATTTATCCTTATATCCTACTTGTTGTTATTACCTGAAATTCTGTGAACTAGAGCAGTGATTGCCCCTATTTATCATGTACTAGAACAAAATTTACTCACAATGTATATCATCAAACTATATGCATCTATACATACATATTAAAGATCATACATAAAGTTTTTTTAAATTAAGTATAGGTAAAAGTTTTTAAAAAGGGACTTGTTTAAACATGTTTGGTTTGAAATAACCCACGCATGTGTGAACTAGAACCCTAGTAGCAATACTTTTTGACTTAGCCTTATATAGATACTTTTCTGGGCCTTCATTTATCATTAGGAAAATGGAGATAGTACTACCTGTCTTGCTGTATGAATTACATAATAATGCATAATCACCTGGCACAGGGCAGGTATTTAGTAATTGTTCTTTTTTTTTTTCTTTCTTTCCCTTTCCTTCCATTTAAGTCAACAGTCTCTTCATCTTCAGGGAGAATAGAAACTACAAACAGGAGGATTCTTACATTGGAGTGGAAGTCAGATATAACAGAAACTATGGCTCAAGGTCGCAGTTCAAGCTCACCAGCTGCTCCTTGGAAACCTTATACAGGGTTGCTATGGATAGGAACCGATTCGATGGCACTACACAACAACAGCAACAAATGGCCCTGCAAGATAAATACTGTCTGCAAGGTCAGTTTGAACCTCAAGGTCAGTGGTTCAAACTCAGCAGCCACTCCTCGGAAACCCTATACAGGTTCACTATGAGTCAGAACCAACTCAACGGCAATTAACAACAACAGTCACAGCCATAGGGATTGTGGATGAACCCACTAGCAGCCCATGGAAGATTTGCCAGCCAGCTTCCTAAAAGATTACAGCCTTGGAATCCCTATGAGGCAGTTTTACTGTTCTAAAGGGTTGCTATGAGTCAGAATCAACTAGACAACAGTGGGTCTAGTATTACAACCAATTGTTCTAATACCATTACCTGAGATGAAAGGAAAGGAAATGTAAAGTCTGAAGTTACTACAATAAGGTCCTATTAACAAAGAACTAAGGAGCTCTGGTAGCGTAGTGGTTATGAATCGGGCTGCAAGCCTCAGGGTCAGCAGTTCGAAACTACCAGCTGTTCTGCGGGAGAAAGGTGAGGCTTTCTGCTCCCGTAAAGATTTACAGCCTCGGAAACCCTGTACAGGGTCGCTATGAGTCGGAACCGACTCCACGGCACATAACAACAACAACAAAGAACTACTTGATGATTTGAATGCTAAACATTATTTGCTCAAGTGCATGTGTATGAAATATAGACGCTATCTTTATGATCTCAGAATAGTTGCTGTTGTTGGTGGCCACATGTGTGCAGAGCAGAACTGGTCCATGTTTGTTTGTTTTTTTAAATGTTTTATTATGAATTATGTGATAGTTTACATGGGAAGACATTAGTTTTACATTCATCCTATCGTATATCATTTCATTGCCATGATTACAATCCATTCTATGCATCATCAACCAACCAAAGGTTGTCCCTTGGTCACCCCTCTCCCTCTCTAGGTCTAAAGCCCCAAGCTGCTCTGTCTCCCCACGTCATTGTCTCTGTCTCCATCTCTGGCATCACTACTTCTCTGGGTAGGGTCCCGCTCTCCGCTCTTCTCCCTTGATGGACCCAGGGACCTCCACTCCAAGACTGCAAAGTTAATCACTCCCCTCCTTGCTATAAAACATCTACCTTTACATTTACAGCCCTCACAATCAGTCCTGATAACAATTATTCACTATCCTTTCATCAGCCCCACGGTTTTAAGAAGGTAGCCAGGCCTGTGAATGGTTTCCAACTGCCCTTCTTTTGGTTAGCAGTAGAGCACTTAACCATCTGCACTACCATGAAAGACATCAAAGTCTAACTTAAACTAGCCTCTGAAATAAAACCAATAATTTTATGTTATTATCAAAAATATTTATTTAAAAAATTTACAAGGAACTACCAGAATTTAGACTAAGAAAATAAAAAGAGCATTTAATTGTGTAGTATCATTTCCTCTGTCCTACCTGTCATGATCAATAAAGTGAGTTCTTTGATGAAGTGACAGGGGTTTGATCTGGTACTGGTGGACCTGACAGGTTTTAGGCTGAATTCTTGGGGTCACATATGCTTGAAGTGTGCCATACTGGCCTTCAATTGAACGAATCTGATTCAATACAAAAAAAAAAGAAAAAAGAAAAAGAAACATGAATCTAGGAACATAAGTGTATCTTTAAGATATTCAACACAAGCAATCAAGTACTTATGCTTTAATCTCGGTAATATTTGGAAAAAATAATGGTATTCTGTTAAACAACCAATTTTTACCACTAAAGGAAAATGAAAAAAATTATGGCAGTAATAGCAAAATCAATCTGTAAGAATTACCTCCACCCCATATTTTCAGTTGATTTATCCATACTTACCAATGCTACTCCATTCCATATACTCTCACACTGCCTGGTCACATCCAGAAATAAAGGTATATACAGTGGGTCCTTGAACAATACGGGTTTGAACTGCCTAGATCCACTTATACACACATTTTTTTCCCTGTTATTGGTGAGATAAGCTCCCGTGTTTCAAGTATCCATTTAAAATGCCCTGTGATGCTAACCACTACTGACTGCCTCCCAGGGCATTTTCACGGGAGACGTGAAACAAACCTGTGTAAAAGTGGGGACATGCAGATCAAACCATAATGGTCAAGGGCCAACTGTAATGCATTTTATACAGGGTGATATAAAAAAAACAAAAAAAAACCCCGAAAATCAACACATTTTTGTTGAAGAGATAAATGAGTTTTCCAAATAGCTGATACTTATGTGGAATACATTTGCTCAGAAATACAGATATTATAGCATGTAATTATTGCTATTAAAAAAAAAGTTGGACAGTGAATACGGAAGACTGATGCCTTTGAATTATGGTGTACTAAAAACTGCCAGAAGAATGAACACATCTGACTTAGAGGAAGTACAGCCAGAATGGTCCTTAGAAGTGAGGATGGCAGGAACTTTGGGAATGTTATCAGTGGTAAGCATCTCTAGAGAAGCATGCTTGGTAAAGGAAAAGGTCAGTAAAAAAGAGGAAGACCCTCAGTGAGATGGGATTGACACCGTGGCTACAGCAACAGACTCAAGCACAGCAATGACTGTGAAGATGGTGCACGATGGGGCAGTGTTTCAGTAGGTTGTACATGAGTCAGAACCAACTTGATGACACCTAGCAATAACAATTGTTCTAAAAATCTACCAACTTTAAAAAAATTTTTTTTTCCCCATGAACTTAATTCTTTATTTTCAGTGAAAACAGAGATGCATAATGTGGTATAATGAATTATTTAATATCTCTTCTAGCCTTATCTTTGTAACTCCCACCAAACAACTCTTTCTCTGCTGGATCTGGATAAGAGAGAAGGTGGGAGAAGATACTGATAGGAAGATATGAATCAGCTGTGGAAGGTTGGTGCTCATTATATTTTTGCACATAACAATAATGTAATTGTAACACATTTGTACTGGAAGATAGTTTGGGGCTACTTTGAATATGGCCGCTTGACTATCAATCGATTATGATGATGTAATCAAAACATTCCAGGAATTTTGCCAAAGCGAACCCTGCGATAAAAAACATCCTAAAGGGATTCTGTGGGCTTGAGAACCAACAAGAACAGACAACAACCAGAATTTGACATACGTGGCAGCACTACCCAGAACGCAATCAACAAATGGAAGAGTTGAGAACAGAACAAAACTATAAAAACAAATTCAGAGGATGTGGGAGGTCAGTCTATGATCAAAACAATTACAATGTGAAAGAAGGTAAACACATAAGAAAAGAGATACAGGTGGTGAGAAGGTCAGGTGGACTACAGGATAAAATAGACTGCCTTAAATAGAGGGAAAGATTAACGGAATATAAGGTAACCACAATGGTGGGGTTGGGATGGGGGATTTAGGGAGAGTTGGAGGGAGGCGACGATAGAGCATAGGGTGGGGTGTTGGGGAGGGATGAGGCGGAAGAACAAGTTGATAGGGGACACTGAGACAGGTTTGCATGGGCTAAGTGCTGTTGTTAGGTGCCATGGAATCAGTACCGACTCATAGCGACCCTAGGCACAGCAGAACGAAACACTGCCCGATCCTGGGTCAACCTCACTATTGTTGCCACGCTTGAGTCCATCGATGCTGCCAACTGGCCTATCCATCTCGTTGGAGGTCTTCCTCTTTTTCTCTGATCCTTCATCCTACCAAACACGGTATCTTCTCCAGTGACTGGTCCCTCCTGACAATATGTCCGAAGTATGAGTGATGAAGTTTAGCCATCCTGGCCTCCAAACAGCACTCTGGTTGCACTTCTTCCAACATGGATCTGTTTGTTCTTTTGGCAGCCCATGGCACTTTCAATATTCTCCTACAACACCATAACTCAAATGCGTCAATTCTTCCACGGTCTTTCCTTATTCACGGGCCAGCTTTCGCATGCATATGAGGTTATTGAAAATACCACGACTTGGGTCAGGTGCACCTTAGTCCTCAATCTGACATTTTTGATCTACAACATTTTAAAAAGGTCTTGTGCAGCAGATTTGCCTATTGCAATACGTTGTTTGATTTCTTGACTGATGCTTCTGTGAGTATTGATAGTTGATCCAAGAAGAATGAAGTCCTTGACAATTTCAAACTTTTCTCCGTTGATAAGAATGTTGTTTATTGGTCCAGTGGTGAGGATTTTTGTTTTCTTTACATTGAGATGTAATCCATACTGAAGGCTGTGTTCTTTGATCTTCATCAGTAAATGTTTTAAGTCCCTTTCACTTTCAGCAAGCAAGGTTGTATCATCTGCATATCGCAGGTTGTTAATGAGTCTTCCTCCAATCCTGATGCCATGTTTTTCTTCATATAACCCAGCCAAATGGGACAGAGGTAAATAGTGATGCATGCTCCACCTTGGAACAACAGGGCTCTGTGATACAGGGATGCAGACATAGTTTGAAGAGCAGAAATAATACTAAGATGCATAACTGTCTTATGAATATTGGTTCCCTTTGCCTACTATTGTAAAATACACACTTGAGTGGGATAGAAAGGTATGACAGAAAACATGATGACAGAAAACTTGTAAGCCCGTCTTCAGCCTATAACTGATTGGAGTACCTAAAAAGGGTTCTAAAATTTGCCTAGTGAAATATGCCTCTTGTGGAGCCTAATATAGGACCATACATGGAATCCTGAGTCCCATCCAGAACCTTCTGAGGTGGGATATTCCCACTAGCAAGGACAAGCAGACCAACTTGGAACAGCTAGAGCAACAGAAGATACATTTTTAAAGAAAGATCATCAAGAAACCACCCCAAAAAATGTCTGTATGACTGGTTACTACAACAATAAGCAAGCTGTTCACCAGGAAGCCTTCAAGGCAAGCAATTAAGTTCCTTCAGGACAAACCCCCCTCTAAGACTGAAACTCAAAGGGAACACATGAGCAGGCATGTAAGCTTGCTGGCAACCACATTGGTCTACTGGTGAGTGGAAGAGGGGGAAAGGCAGCAATAAAGAATTGGGCTGAGTTCAACTATGGTCCATAGACACCCCGTTGACCTGGAGATGAGAAGAGAGAAGAGGAAGGCTGGTCCAAAGTATGGTAAGACCTGGGGACACCTGAGCCCATGGACAAGGACACAGTCACAGAGGGCTAGAGCTGAGAGTGAAATATCCAGCTGATATAAAATGAAGAAAGATGCACAAGAACACCCACACTTGCAGATAGTACCCATTTGAGCTAGCCTTGATGGCTTGATAATCACAACTTGACTAGAGGAAGATTTAAAAAAAAAAAATTTTTTTTTTTCTTTGCTAAAGGCAACAAGGGTAAATTTCTACAATTTGATGAACCAGACCTATACTCATAGAGGCAGTAACTCTAAAGACCAACAGAAAGGGAAGGAGTCTTCACATCAAGCACCAATGCCATCCCCTCTATACACAGGGTAGATAGGGACAGTCAACTTAGACATTGGCTACCTAAAATGAGGGGTGTTAAAGGCACGAAGTAATTGGCTTTCAAGGTTTCAAGAGGGAGTTTAGTTTAATAGTGTGTAGGGGAAGAAAGAGTTACCACTGAATAGTTTCATCTTGTCTAGATGGGTCTGGTTAAAAGAGATGGGGATAAGAGTCTTATGATTCAATAGTGAGCAATTATTATCATGACTAATTGCGACTGTCACAATTATAAAGGTAGAAGTTTTGTAACAAAAATGGGAGAGTAGTTAATCTTATAGTTCAGAAACAAAGGACCCTGGGACCATTAAGGGAGAAGAGCACAAGAGGAATGTGGGACCAGAAGCAGTGACACCAGAGATAGAGGCAGAGATGGGGACATGGAAAATGGTAGTGGCTGAGGATTCTAGATTCATGGGAAGAAAGGGACTAAGAGATAGTGGCCAGGAGGCAGACTTGCAGACTGTGCCCTTCGGTGGTGTAAATTACTATATATGCCTGAGTGTTTAAACCCCTCCCCCTAAAAAACCCAGCTAAAGTGAATAGAAATACTGTTAACCGATGGTATATGGAAGGGATTATAATCATTGTAATGAAAAACAGTGTATGATTTGTTGAATGTAAAACTGGTGATCTGCTCTGTAAACTTTCACTTATTCAACAATAAAAACTTTAAAATATATATATATTAGGTGCCATCAAGTCAGTACCAACTCATAGCCACATTATGCACAACAGAAGGAAACACTGCCTGGCATTGCACCAATCAATCCTCTTTGGGGGTGGGGGCGCAGGGGCTTCCTCTTTTTCATTGACCCTCTTTACAAAGCACAATGTCCTTCTCCAGGAATGAAGTCTGACCATCCTGGCTTCTAAGGAACATTCTGGCTATACTTGTTCCAACATAGATTGGTTGTTCTTTTGGCAGTCCATGGTACTTTTAATAGTCTCCTCCAACACCATCAATTCTTCTATGGTCTTCTTTATTCATTGCTCAGCAAACTCCATGGCAACAACAACAACAATTACTAATTTACTGACACGGTTTTGTTTTGCTTTTTTTGAGTGTCATCTAGTTGGTTCTGACTCATAGGTGGTAACCTGTATAGGTTTTCCAAGGAGCAGCTGGTGGTCTTAAACCACCAACTTTCAGTTAGTAGTCCAGGGCTTATCCTACAGCACCATACCAGGACTTGTTAGTGATATATAATTTTCGATGTTTAATGTTCAAGCATGGTTAAACTTATTCATAAAATATACTTAAGTATATTATTTTAGAAAAAGCTTATCCCAATTTTTCCATTTTCACTAATGAACTTATGTACAACAAAACAAACTGTTCAGAAAAAAATGACATTTAGATGGCACTTCTCTGAGGGAGCCCTGCTGGCACAGTGGGCAAAATCTTGGGCTGTTAACAGAAAAGTTGATAGCTTGAATCCAGCTGTTCTGAGGGGGGAAGATAAGGCAATCTGCATCTGTAAAGATTTACAGCTTCAGAAACCTATGTAGCAGTTTTACTCTGTCCTATAGAATCTCACTGACTGTAGGATAAGTACTGGACTGGTAACCACAAGGTCAGGGGTTCAAACCCACCAGGTGCTCCTCAGAAACCTCATACAGTGTCTCTATGAGTTGGAACCAACTCAACAGCACTTAACAACAACATATGGTTGACTCCATGTTAGTGAGGTTAGCTTTTTATTTGGGACTTCTCTTAACCAGGAGTGAAATAATTCTGGTATAACAGCATTTCTTTTGAAAATCCAAACTGATTCTCAGAATGTCATTAACATTAGGAAAAAAGTTATAGTTCCTCATTCTTACAACACAGCTGTATTAAAATTTTTAAATGAAAAACAAAATTAATTATAAATTAACTATTAAAAAGATATATATATATTAAACCCAGTACTTAATATTAAAAGTTATTATATTACTAAAATTTGAAAGGTTTTCTCTTAAAATAAATGATGATGATAAATGACATTACTGAAATATAATCAGCAAAATACAGACAGTAACAAATTACAGAGTAAATGGACCAGATACTTCAATAACTAAGTTTCCTTATTTGGACCAGAGTTGGATAAAACCATAAAAATGAAAACCAGTGCAATTCAAATACTGAAGAATTGATGCTATTAAAGTTTTTTTTTTTCCCCCTTAATGTGATTAACAGTATTATCTTTTAAAGATACATATGAGGGGACTTCAAAAAGTTCATGGAAAATAGAATGAAAAGATAATGTAATTTTTCCATGAACTTTTTAAAACCTCCTTGTACTAAAATATTTACAAATGAAATTATAAAATGCTTTGTATTTGCTTCAAAATAATTTGGGGTGGGAGTGATAGCATAAACATGGAGACTCACTACTTTTATGTCTATTTGAAATTTGCATAATAGAAAATCACAAAAATTTCTAGTTAGACAAACTTTTATGATGTATTATCTTACAGAAGGTGAATTGTTGTTGTTGTGAGGTACCATTGAGTCATGCTAATGATTTGTTGTTGTTAAGTGCCATCAAGTCGATTCCGACCTGTAGCGACCCTGTATAAGGTTTTCCAGGAGCACCTGGTGAGCTTGAACCACCAACCTTACAGTTCAAACAATTTCGCAGTCTGACGCATTAGTCCACAGCACCACACCAGAACTCCATGCTAATGATAAATAGGCTTTAATTCAGTCCAAACCATTAACAATCAATTCAAAAGAAACAGTCCAATATGACTCATTTCAGAGAGAAAAATCCAAGGAAAGAAATTATATCAGATGTTGCAAGATAAAGTAAAGAAAAAAGAAAGTTCAAACATTTAAGAAAAGGTAATTTAAAAAATATTTACCTTGAGTTCCAGTCTTGTAGTATTTGCTTGGCACCGATAAGTGGCAAGAAGAAAGTTGTCATTTGACTAGAAAAAAATCAAAGTAAAGGAAAAGGATGAATTCATGCTTTTGATGAAAATAGCATCAATAATAATTGTGGTTACTATTTACTGAGCACTTATCATTTAGGGGAGCCCTGGTGCGGTAGTGGTTTAAGCATTGAGCTGCAAACCATAGGGTCAGCAGTTCAAATCCACCAGCTGCTCAGAAACCCTGTGGAGAAGTTCTACTCTGTCATACAGGGTCACTATGAGTTGGAATTGACTCGATGGCAACGGATTTTTTTCATTTGGATGGCAATGTGTTAAGCACTTTTTAAACATGTTCTCATTTATTCCTCCAACAACTCTATGCAGTAGATTTTACTAATAGGTTTTGACATAAGAAACTGAGACTACAAAAAATTAAATACTGTTCCCATATCTATTAAATGATGACAGTGGAATTCAAATTCAGATCTTTAAGACTCTTAAGCTTGAAAGCTCTTTCTTCCTAGGCTCTCTATAAAAATTTTAAAATTAAGAATTATTAAATTAGTAACAATGAAAAGTTCTAATATTTATATAATAAAGACATGTACGATAATGTTTGATGTTCGAATGTTTTTATTTTCACAAATATCTATAGAGAACTGAGAAGTATCTGTAACCCCAGCAAATATTACAGTGTGTATGGTGGTGGTGATGGTTGTGTGCTGTGGAGTCAATTCCAACTCATAGCAACCCTATAAAGGGTTTCTGAGGCTTTTTAAATCTTCAAGGAAGCAGAAAAGTCTCATCCTTCTCCTATGGTGCAGCTGGTGGGTTCGAACGTAGTCCAATGCTTATCATATGGAGTCACCATGCTCTCTAGCATACTGTAGGCACTCAATATATGTTTGCTGAATTTAATTGAAGATGTTCCTTCAAATATTGTAACTGCTTAAGATTGAATATTAAGCTACTAAACATGAAAATATATATATACAGGTACACAAATTAGAAAAAGAGACAAAGTAATGTGAAACTTATGCAATTTCCATGTATGGCTATTCTCTGTTTTGGTGGCACTGGGCTGCTAACTGCAAGGTCAGTGGTTTGAAACCACCAGTCATTCCTTGGAAACCCTATACAGGGTCACTGTGAGACAAAACCAACTCCACAGCACTTAACAACAACAATAAACAACTAAAGAAATATAAAGGAGACTAAAATCGAAAGGAAAATTCAAATCATTTTTACTTAGTAAACAGAGCATCAATAGACTTAAAAGTAAATTTATTCTTGAGCGATTAAAAACAGACATAATGACATATTTTTAGATAACATAATACAGATCAAAAGAGATAATGTCTGGGATTAGCATTAAAATAATCTCGTTTGGAGGGTAAGGAAGGGAGTAAAGAGAATAAAACATGACTGGCCATATGTTTAAATAACTATGGGCATCGAGTCAATTCTAACTAACAGTGACACTATATAGGGATCCCAAGATGTAAATCTTGGCAGTGCAGGTAATTTAATCTTTCTCCCTCACAGCGGCAGGTTGGTTTGAACTGCCAACCTTTTGGTTGGTTAGCAGCCCATCATCTAACCCAAGTGCCACCAGAGCTCCTTAAAGTAATGGGTACATGTTGTTAAGTGCCATCAAATTGGCTCCAACTCATATCGACCCTATATAAGGTTCCTGAGGCTTTAAATCTTCACAGAAGCATGAAGCCTCATCTTTCTCCCATGGAGTGGCCGTCAGGCTTGAACCTCAGACCTTGTGGTTCACAGCCCAGTGCTTATTGTATGGAGCCACTGTGCTCCCCAAAGAGTACACAGAAGTTTTTATACTATTCTTTCTCTTTTTATGTTACTTGAAAATCTCTTAAGGTTTTTTCCCCAAAAACCATTAAGGAAAATATTTCTGAAATTGGTATAAAATGCTCATTTCAAAGAATCCTGCAGTAGTATCAATAAAGATCAGTAGTATCAATAAATTTCAAGGAAATATAGTATTTAAAGACTTTGCTAACTTGAGTCTTTTAAATGGTTATAAAACTACAGATCCTAATTTTTTATATTTTGGTCTCAAACAGATATGATAAACTCTAGTACAACTGTTACAAATTGCTTTCCAAGAAGAAACTCTTTCCTATAAAATTATGTTGAAAGTCCTGGTATGGTACTGTAAGATAAGCACTAGACCACAGGTCAGTTTGAACCATAAGGTCAGCTGTTTAAACTCACTAGCTACTTCTCAGAAACCCTATATAGGGATACTGTAAGTCAGAATCAACTCAACAGCACTTTAACAACAACAACAACAATATATGATCATTAATTTTTTTCTTTTCCACTCTTTTTTATTCTGTCCTTTTAAAATATATCTGCCAACTCTAGTCACTGTCTCCTTTTGCTTTTGCTTACCTTCTCTAAGCAGCTAATCTAGAACACATCTTTGCCTTACTTCTCTAAAGCAACCACACCTAGCTCTGAGACTGTTGAGCTCTTTATGCTACTAAGCATAAGGAAATGGATGTAGTAAGCATGTCAAAAGCACAGGTATGATTCCATCACAGGTGATCTCTATACAGTAAGTGTTTAACAAATATCTGCTGAATGAAAGGTAAGTAGATATTCAACAAGTCTAGAAAAAGTTGGGAGGACCAAGAAGAACAGGGAGGAGGAAAAGATCACGTATGAAGGTTGTTGTTAAGTTCCATCAAATTGGTTCTGATTCACAGTGACACTATAGTGTTTCTGAGGAGGAGCTGTTGAGTTTGAACGGCTGACCTTGTGGTTCACAGTCCAGCACTGATCTTACAGCTCCACATAGAGATATGTATTTTCAAAAAATTTTAAGAACTTTGGTTTGACAGAAATAAGGAGTGGAAAGAGCTAAGGAGAGATAAGGTGGAGATGTAATCAAGAGGTAAATCATGGAACGTCATCTATGCGGCAATGAGGAATTGAGAGGAATCTTTATAAGTTCTAGGAAAGGAAATGACACGGTGATGTTTTGTATATGAGGAAGACTTCTCTGCTGCAGAGCCTGAAGGTGGTAAGCAAGGCTGTAAGCAGAGACACTAGTTAGAGCAGTATTTCAAGCAAGTGACTGTGAGGGCCTGGAATAGAGGTCTAAGAAGCATGGAACAGAGCTGACAAAATCTAGGGACTCACTGGGAGCAGAAGATGATAGAGGACAAATCTAGCACAACATCCAGGTTTCTAGATTATCAAAGAAAAAAGAAAGACAGCAGAAGAAGATTTTGATGAAAAGGTTATTTAAAAAAAAAAAAAAAGATTGAAGAACAAATACCAAAGTTGAATAGCATTCGGAGGCTTTAATCAAATAACAGAAAAGAAAGCATATAAATAATTCTTCATTTCCTAACTGTACTTACCTCAGAATCACAGCTGCTAAAGCTGACAACAGCAGAATTTTTATCCACATCAAGTAGATCTATTGGAACATCACTCTACAGTCAACATTTAAATTAAAAAAAAAAAAAATGTGAACATGGAAAACCTAAACATTTTTCCAAAATATATTTTCTCTGGAGGTTATTCTTAGGTGAGGTGGCTCTCTAGTATAAACAGTGGGCTACAAACCACAAGGTCAATAGTCCAAGTATACCAGCTTCTCTGGGGGATATAGATGAGGCTTTCTGCGCCTGAAAAGACTTACACCCTTGGAAAACTGTATAGAGTCCCTGCGAGTTGAAATTGACTCAATGACACTAAACAACAAAGGTTATTCCTAGCTCTACTTTATGTTCTTATTGAAATTTGAGCATGTAAATTCCCTTAATTTATAGTTAATAGTAAGCTGTCGTTGCTGTTGTTAAGTGCCGGTGAGCCAGTATGGACCCATAGCGATCCTGTTAGGGTTTCCAAGGAGTGGCTGGTGAGCTTGAACTTCTGACCTTGTGGTTCAAACCGACTTTGCAGTCCAGCGCATTAACCCATAGCACCACACCAGTTAATAGTATATGCTCCCAGAAAATAAATACAATAAAAATAGATGTTATTTTACAATCGTCTAATTTTTTTTTTTTTCTAATCTGGATAATAAGAGATCATTGGACAAATTCTCTTAGTACTCACTCAAAAGAACTTGCATAATTTTCCTACCTATTTTTGTCAGTGCTAAAAGTGCTAGTATGGATAACTCTGTGGTCATTCTATTTTATCAGTTTAATTGTATCAATTTAATTTTACCAGGAACACAGAAAGTTTTTTGCTTTGTTTTTTTTTTCTAGAGAGCTAGCTGCTAGGATGGTGTCCTGGTGTGGTGCTATGGTCTAACAATGGACTGCAAGATTGTTTTGAACTGCAAGGTCAGCGATTCAAGCGCACTAGCCACTCCTTGAAATCCAATACAGGTTCATTATGAGTTGGAACCGACTCAAAGGCACTGAACCACAACAGTCACTTGGACCACAAACTGCTGCATGACATTCTATGTGAATAGTGCCCTGAGCTGTTGAATGTAGCAGTCCCCCAGCTAGCATTTCGTAAAAGAGATTTATCTACCTTTAAATTTTAAATAATAATCTGATCTTAAAAATTTTCATCTTCTTCCTCTTTATTCTTTAATCATTTTCTAATTGATTTTCCATTTTTTGTTTGTTTTCCATTCATCCTATAATCATCCTTTTCTACTGAATCTTTTCCAGTTTAAAGAAAGAATAAACATTGATGAATGGAATTATATATTATTATTTCCAAATTTCATTTGTTAGGATAACCTGCTTTGCTAGTGACCCACTTAGAATCCGGTGAGCTAATTAGATGCCATTTTAGAATTTGAGGCTGAAAAAAAATTGCAATAAGGGCATTAAATATTGGAGTTCTCTAAGTAACAATTCTGCTAAAACTCTCCCAGAGAGTAGTCAAAGAAGACAGTCTATACTAGTGTCTTCTTTCTGACTTTTCTTAAAACTTAACTCGATCTACTTTTTATTTAATAATAAGTATAGGTTAAATAAAAAGTAAAGATATAATTTAAACAATCTATGAGCAGTTATTATCCTATGGAAATTGATGTGCTATAACATTTAAAACCATTGTCTAACACTGTGTTAAATAATAATTAATACATATGATTAGCTTGCAAAACAGATATATTTGTAAAATATATATTAAAGTCATTTAGTTCTAAGCCCATTACATAATAAATTAACCCTTTTACTTACCTGTATTAAGACATTATCTATTGCTGTCTGTACCTCTAAGATAAGGCTGTAGCTGGCATCATCTTTATTCAATATAAATTTATCATTTACACTAAATGAAGGTACTGCTGATTTTGCTTTGCTTGACTGTGAAGACTGTTGATATTTCTCCCTTTCCTGTAGGACCTTATACTGCAAATGTTCCAGTTCACTCCTAGAGGAAAACATGCATAACGTTTCCATCCAAAGTAGAAACATTTAAGATCCTGAATTACAAACTTGAGGCATTTAGTTCTGCAAAATAGGGTTTTATAGGCTGAGCTAGAACTGTAGCATCAATAGGAATAAACTGTTTTCTTCTAAAAATGGCCAAATGAGTCTATACTATTTACCCCTAATCTAAAAATTAAAACATGTACTCAGTCCCATATCAGCAGTATTAATAAAGACTATTAAGTAGAAAGGTAAGTTACAAATAATCAATTCAAACACAGGATTGTGTGGTTACTGTTCAAAGTTTCATACAGTACCACTCATAAGGGAAAATGACTGTAATGGGGCAAAGAAACATCTGAATTTAATGAGAAGAAACAAAATGTATGAAGCCAGTACCGTCCAGCAATACAATGTTGTTGTTGTTGTTAGGTGCCATTGAGTCAGTATCAATTCATAACAAGCCTACGCACAACAATATGAAACACTGCCTGTGCCAATCTCACAATTGTTGGTACACCTGATCCCATTGTTGCTTCCACTGTGCTAATCCATCTCAATGGGGGTCTTCCTCATTTTCTCAAACTCACCATTCTACCAAACATAGTATCCTTCTCCAGGGACTGGTCCCTCCTGATAATATGTCCAAAGTATGAGAGACAAAGTCTGACCATCCTGGTTTCCAAGGAGCACTTTGATTGTACTTCTTCCAACACAGCTATTTGTTCTTTGGGTAGTTAATGGTGCTTTCAATATTTTCACCCAACACCATAACTCAAATGTATATATTCTATGGTGCTCCTAATTCAATGTCCAACACACATGAGTCATTCTAAATACCATGGCTTGGATCAGGTGCATCTTAGTCCTCAAACTGACATCTTTGCTCTTCAAC